CCCGTCTCTTCCTCAACCCCGCACAAATAGCTGAACCCCCTGCCCGCGCGGGCCGGCGATGGCGCGACAGTGAGGGCGGCGAGGCCGGACCACGCTGGGATAGTGCCCGCGCCCCGGCGGGCGTGAGCACACACTCCCCCGCTCCGCGCCCCTCTTTTTCGTCTCCTGAGCTCTCTGAGAAGAGAGAAGACGCAGGGGAAGATGTGGCTGAAGCTGTTTTTCCTACTCCTCTATTTTCTGGTCCTGTTCGTCCTGGCCAGGTTTTTTGAGGCCATTGTGTGGTATGAAACTGGCATCTTTGCCACCCAGCTGGTGGATCCGGTGGCGCTGAGCTTCAAGAAGCTGAAGACCATTCTGGAGTGCCGGGGGCTGGGGTACTCGGGGCTGCCCGAGAAGAAGGATGTCCGGGAGCTGGTGGAAAAGTCAGGCGAGTATCGGGCTCCTGTGGGGTCCCCCTCCACCCGGTGTGGGGGGCGACTTGTACTTCCTCGTGCCTAGTGGTTCCCTCAGAATGGGGCATTACCTGGGTGGGTTACGCAGACAACTTCGAGAGCTGTCCAGGCTTTCTGCGGGAAAAAAAAAAAAAAAAAAAAAAGGAAATCCCAGTTTTGAGAAGGGGGCTGGGATTATTTGTGGGGGTGTTGCTGTGTCTTTTTAAGCTGTTTGTTTTTGTTTTTTTTTAAATAACAGATTTAAGTGCAGCTTCTTAGCAATGTTTAGTAAGAAACCATTTTCTTAAAATTAGGGAATGTCAGCCGGTTGCAGACAAACTGGAAAGCATTATTTGTCAGTCGAAATTCCTAAGGATATAAGAGAAGGAAAACCCCAAAACGTTGTCTGTAGATAGCAGTGTTTGTCACGATAATAATAAATAACAATAATAGCATAATAACAGGAGGGAAAAATATCATTGGAATACTTACTATCAAAGAGGCATGTAGGGCTAAGATTTAATTTTTAAATCATGAGGATAAATATCGAGAAAGGGTGAACTGTACAGTATTGGCTTTTCATACTTTAAGTTTGGTGAAAATGAAGTGAGTTTTGTGAATTCCTACCTTGTTTGTATTACTGTCAGGGTTTTTAAAAAAAAATCCTTATGTCTTGGATGTAAACTTTTCTCTTGTAGAAGTCACAGACGCTGCTGCATCACTGTAAATGCTCTGAGACATAGAATTGAAGTAGTACTAAGTGAACATTTGTTTAACATTTTAAAGAAAAATGCGTTGGCCGTAACTGTTGGTTTGGGGAAGGATTAAGTAAGATATATAGTTAATTTTTTTTTCACCCCTGAAGAAAATATATCTTTGTTTAGGTAAACGTACTGGAAGGGGAATGTACTGTAACTAGAGAAAGGCATTCTGGGTTGCTGTAGGAAGCAGTTGAAACTGATGGTTATCTTTTTTGTTGTTTCAAGTAGATCTGCTGTGTCTTTAACAAGGCATTTTGTCCCCTTATTTAGTACTGTATAGCCGTGTAGTGTGATAGACAAGAATACTAACTCCAGAGGAGTTGAGCACTCACATATTTCCAGGTTAAGGGTTATCAAATTTGTATTTCAGTACTGGGGTAGTGATATAAATGTGTAATATTTGCATGTAAACGTGATACTTTTTTATAGAGAAAACATAAAATCGGGTTTTTTTCCTTGCCTCTCGTTTACTGACTGGTTTATGGTAACTTACTTCTACCGTGGGGGCGGGGAATGGGAAATGGAGTAAAGTAGATCCCTAATAAATGAATTTTCTAGGTTCAGAAATGAGAAGTATCTTCACTGCCACAGCCAAATCACTTCTCATGCTAAAAAGTTTAATAACACGTTTTTCTTTTGACTTTTATTTGTGTTGCTTCCTTTGGGCCTAAAAATACTTGTCACTTTGAGTGTACAAAGAATGCACATATCATTTAAAGAATGCACACAGCCTACAAAAATATGACTCAGATCACACCTTTTATAGCAGAGAAGTCTTGGTATAGCAGTTTAACTTTATAATTTAAGTATTCGTTGTAAATGATTTTGCTGCTATCGTGATACAGTGCTTGTTTTCGCATTTAAGACAAAATTAGAATAATTTGACATTAGTGTTTTCCTTTTTACTTGATCATATAAGCTCTCAACTTACACTGAAAGTTTGAGTATGGAGTTTTTTCTTACAGGTAATCTTTTGTATCTAACCTTCAAGTCTTACAGGCCCTATTGCTATTTTAAGCAGGTGGTGATGGCAAATTCTGTAAACCCACTTCTAAATCTTACAAGTCTGAAGTATGTACATCATACTGTTTAAAAATTATTTGAAGCCTGGGCGTGTCACACACAAAACTAAATAATACTGTGATGGCTTTTTGGGCTTACCAGGAAATTAAGTAATTTCCTAATAAATTATGTGATGACCTCACTAGCATGTAAGTTCCACGAGAAGATGGATTTTTGTCTGTTCACTTTTGTCTGACACGTACTAGGTTCTTATGACATACTGGCTGACTGAATCTTAAATGGGTGTATTCAGGTTCTACTCTTCTATAGAGGGAAATGGAAGTCCTGTGACATGATTTTTAACAGTGTGTAATGGAATTAATCATTGAAGTTGGGAAGGTAGGATTTTTGAAATCTTACTGCTGTTACTTTTTTCTTTCTTCAGGTGACTTGATGGAAGGTGAGCTCTATTCTGCACTCAAGGAAGAAGAAGCATCTGAATCTGTTTCTAGTACCAATTTCAGTGGTGAAATGCACTTCTATGAGCTTGTGGAAGACACAAAAGATGGCATCTGGCTGGTTCAGGTATCAGAAGTAAAGTGATAGAAGTAAAATTCTTTTTACCAAAATAGTATTCACCAGCTGGTGACACTTCTATATATTTGTGTCGTGTTTCTTCAACATAACTCAATTCTCATAGGTAGTCTCCAGTATCCTCTTAAAGAGGTCTGCAGACCATGGAAAATGAAGATTGAAGAGTGGGGAGGGGAAGTGTTGGGGAAAGAGGGTTGACTGGTTAGAATCAGCAGAAACAAATCCATTTTGGTCGATGGATCCTCATGAAAGTAAGAAACACACATCTATTCCTTTTGTTGAGTGATTTGCGCTGTTACAGTTTTGATTAACTCCAGTTTGTAATGCAGTAATCCAAAGGATTTTTGTATCTAGAGGAAAAACCCTGAAGTAAAAGTAAGAAAATCCTGCTATTAGGGAAATAGCCAACTTTGTGACAATAGAGGAAAAGATATTGTGGGGACTGGTGGGGAGTGCTCATTACTTTGCTTATGGAATTGATGAGATGATAATTTTAAACCCTAGCTCTTGTGATATCAAAACTGTGAAATTGAGTTAGCATGTTAGAGTTGTAGAGCTATGAAGGGTCTAAAAATTCATCTTTTATGCTTCGTAAAGTGCAGTTTATGCATCATCATTTATGGATTTTTATACAAATTAGAAAAATCAATATTGCATTGAACATCTAATTTCACAGATATTTAGGGCAAGGATAAAGTTATTTAATTTTTTTAAAAATGTAAGTTCATTTAAAATAAAATATCAACCAAATTAACAGCATGATTTTGGCTAAAATTATGATTATTGAATCAGGATCAAATCTCAGGACTCCTGATTTTTTGTCAGCTACTTTTGTCATTTCACACTGGGGTTGGCCAAGTTTGATTCAGGGTATAAAAATCAAAATTGCTTCTTCATATTTCTGAAAACAATGACGTCAAAATATGGTAGAAAAAGCTATGAGCTCAGATGCAGTTAGATGCAGATCTGGCCTTGTCATAGATTTGCAATATGATTATAGATAGATTTTCTGTTGTACCTGACCTCAAATAAAACATATACACCTAAGGAAAATGTAACAGTACTGTGGTCTATGGGGCTAAAGAGTTGAGGTTTGGGAATTCTTCAGGTGATTACGTTGACTGAATATTCATGACTTTCCTTTACATGCAGTTTTCCTGTTGTGTCTGACCTTTTACCTGCCAGATTATCTAATTCAGTAATTTTTAAATTTAGCAAAGGGAGACCCTGGGAGATTATGGATATAGTATATACGTTATCCATCAAATTCTAGTTTATTTCTCTGAATTAATTCGTATTGAAAAATAAACTAGCATCATTAAAGCTTTAATTTATAAGTGAATAGTTAATTCCATTTCCTTTCCTAGATATTCATATCTGATAGTCTGATCAAGAAAGGCTTGTTGGGGGGTGCCTGGGTGGTTCAGTCGGTTGAGTATCCAGCTTTGGCTCAGGTCATGATCTCACGGTTTGAGGGTTCGAGCCTCGCGTCAGGCTCTGTGCTGACAGATCAGAGCCTGGAGCCTTCTTCATATTCTGTGTCTCCCTCTCTCTCTGCCCCTCCCCTACTCACGCTCTGTCTCTCTCTGTCTCTCAAATATGAATAAACATTTAAAAAATTAAAAAAAAAAGACTTGTTGGTTTTGATAATTTTAGTTTTATTACTGAGATTGAGTTGAATACCTGTCCCATTTCCCTATGTTCTCTAAGTGTCCATACACTGAATGATCCCATAGAGATGAATAATTAAGATGCAGAACACCTTCCAAACTTGGAAAAGCCATGTCAAAAGTCTAGAAATTCTTTTGGTATATAGGATTCTGCCTATAAAAAATGAACACATTCTGGTTCACTAACGTGTATTCCTGGCTTACAAACGATCTGCTATTTTCTTTTTTAAGTTTGTTTATTTTTGAGAGAGAAAGAGAGAGAATCCCAAGCAGGTTCTGCACTGTCAGTGTGAAGCACGGTGTGGAGCCCCATCTCATGACCCTGAGATCATACCTGAGTCAGAATCAAGAGTCAGATGCTTAACCGACTGAGCCACCCAGTGCCCTATTTTTTAATGTTCCATTAAATATAACCATGGATTGGGGCGCCTAGGTGGCTCAGTCAGTTAAGTGTCCACCTCTTGATTTTCGCTCAGGTCATGATTTCATGGTGTTTGAGTTCGAGCCCCACATTGGGCTTTATGCCTCAGGTTCTTAGCTGGGTGTGGAGCCTGCTTAAGATTTTCACTCTCCTTCTGTCTCTGCCCTTCCCCCACCTCAAAAAAACCCCCACAAATATAAAAAAGAAAAAAAGATATAAACTCCCTTAAAATATGAAATAGTTTATTTAGCAGTTAGTTGTATGCCAGGCCCTGGAGCTATACCAGGAACATTCAGCAGGCTAAGTCTTTGCTCTCTCAGGCAGTTCACATTCCAGTTGGGAGAGGTAGGCAATAAGTGAGTAAATATTTAATACAACATCAAGTTAGTGGAAAATGCTAAGGAGAAAAATAAACAAGGCAAGGAGTCAGAGAATGGCAAAGAATTCTCTGATAAAGTGACACTTGAATGAAATGAAGAACAAATAATGAATGATAGTGAATGTTAGCATTTAAATTGTAATCACTCAATTCTTTTCCTCTGAAAATATTTTTTAAGCCTCACAGGTATTAGTGATTGAAAAATGGCTTCTAAGAAAAGTGGAATGTGTTTATATGGTTTTCTGTGTGTTAATGGTAGTAGGACACACATTTAATTTTTCCAGTGACCTTCAGGATTTGCACTGATCACCAATGTCTGGCTTATATCCCTTGGAGCCAGTGGCTTACATCTGTCAAACTGGCTGGGCTTAGAAGAACAATCTCTGGCAGGACAACTGAGAAGATTGAGATTGAAACCCTGTCCTCATTCTCAAGTCACCAAGCTAAGCTCATCAGCACAGACATTGGTTTAAACTCTTAAAAGAGGGCTTTTAGTTTTGTTGTTGTTGTTTTGTTTTGTTTTTTAAATTGAAAATGTCTGATAGAAACAAGTATTCTCTTGGTTGCTTGTCATTCTTTCAGCTCAAATCATATTTATCTAATCTCTTGTGAAGGATAACTTAAAGATTCTGTTTTTAATAATTTGAATTATTCTTTCCTATTTATTTTCAAAGAAGCTGACCAATTTTAGTTGGCTCTTTTTTTTTTTTAATTTGTGAGAGTCCATAGATCCCAGCCAGTTCAGTCCTCTTCATATTGCCTTTATTGTAGGTATCCTGTATAAGAAATACTTAAACACATCAGAGTTCTTTCTTTTCCCTCCCATTTTTCTAATATCCTTCCTTACTGCGATGAATTATGGTTTCCTTTTGTATTTATTGAGAAAAAAATGTAGTTAGGCATCATAAAACTGATAATTAGGACATTAGGCTTCGTATGTCATTGAAAGGATGTCTGGATTTATTTAGGGAAAGTATGACTTTTTAAAGTTTATTTTGAGAGAGAGAGTGCACACGAGTGGGGGAGGGGCAGAGAGCGAGGGAGAGCCCTAAGTGGACTGCACGCTCTCAGTGCAGAGCCTAACATAGGGTTTGATCTCACAGATTGTGAGATCATGACCTGAGCTGAAATCAAGAGTTGGTTGCTTAACCAACTAAGCTACCCAGGCACCCCGAAAATGTGACTTTAATAAATGGGTTTATTACTTACCTGTTTCGTCACTTGGTCAGTTCATTATTTTTCTGTAGTGGATTGGTAATCTAGGTTGGTTATCTTTTTTGGTGACATGACACGTGGAATGACACTACACGAGAAGAATAAATTTCTATAAATTACTTAATTTGTATTCCTTTTGAATCTGTCTTCTGTGCAGCTCATGCTTTTATTTGCTGCATGATACATGTTAGTGGTCTTTATGTCTTTCTCTTCTTAATTGTTCTAAAATGTGTTAGTGCTCATGAATTATCCTTACATTAAACCAGAATAGTAGGATGCTCCTTTTCATGTGAAGCTTTTCCACATCTATCCTGTAGTCTCTGTAATATGAAGTGAACAGAACTAATTTCAGTTTTCCAGGCAGCAACACATATGGGACATGTAAGACACCATATAACCCATGGAACAACTAAGTCTTCTTTTTTCTAGCAGTTCTAACAATCTAAGTTTCCCTGCTTTGTTCCTAACCTCTGCTCATATCTTTCATTAGTTATTTATCTTCTAGTATTGTGATTCTTTGATTTTACCACCACCCAGTCATCTGAGTATCACAAATTGAAGACAGTTACTTCCCCTGCTCCCACCCCAGAGAACTCTTGGGCAGATGGGACAGTGGCTAGCCTGAAATGGAAAAGTTAGCATGCGTTGTGGGGTTTATGGGTTTATCCTTATCTTAACGTTTCTATTTCTCTTTTTGACCTTTGTTCAAGGAAGGACTGTGTTATTTGTTCCCTACTGGCTTTATCCCCATCATAAGGAATTTAACGTCACTAGAATTGAGGTAGCAGTGAAAAGCATCACCTGATTTAAAGTAAAACTTTGGGTCAATATTTACCAGAGTATCACGTTACTCTATTTCCTGTTTGGCTAAAAAGAGTTAACAGCTGTTACAAAACTTGTTTATCTTTGTTTCTAGACAAAGCTTTGTTCGGGGAGATTCTAACCCCTTTATTCCTTTCTTGACTCTACTCTAAAGGTAAAATACATGGCAAACCACTGTGCCATTTATTTTGTTCTGGTGAAAAACTTTTATTTCTGTCTAGTAAAAAACTTTTATTTCTGTTTACTCATAAAGAAAGCTAGTGAAGATACCAAAGAAATAATTAAATGCTGTTGAGTTTTGTTTTTTGTCAATCACTTGTCCCCATTTTTTTTATGCTTTTGAATTCATCCATTATTTCTTTTTTTTTAATTTCTTTTTAAATTTACATCCAAATTAGTTAGCATATAGTGCAACAATGATTTCAGGAGTAGATTCCTTAGTGCCCCTTACCCATTTTGCCCATCCTCCCTCCCACAACCCCTC